AAATCAAGAGTCAGAAGCTTAACTGACTGAGCCACCCAGGCGCCCCCAACTCTGTTCTTCTATAAGGTTGTCCTAGCTTTCCTATCCCTTTGCATTTCATTCCCCAAAACACTTAGAATCAACTTACTATCATTTTTTTAAAAATCTGCTGGGATTTTGACTGGGATTACACTGAATCTATATATCAGTTTGGGGAGAACTGACTTCTTTACAATATTGAGTCTTCTAAGATATGAACATGGCCTATCTTTCCACTTATTTGGATCTTACATAACTTCTCTTAATAATATTTTATAGTTTATTTTCTTGTATATCTTTCAGTTTTTCTAAATATTAGAATAGGTTTTAAACATTTATTGACAACTGGTTTTCTTTTAATTTCATGGATACTGTATTGCATTGCTCAGCGCTTCCCTAACCGATGTTCCATGAAATACCATCTCACTTTTTAAAGTAGTCTGGTAAATATGTTGGGAAAAAGTGGGGTTAAACAAGTTAACCAAGGGGGCACCTGGGTGGCTCAGATGGTTAAGCGTCTGCCTTTGGCTCAGGTCATGATCTCAGGGTCCTGGGATCGAGTCTCACGTCAGGCTCCCCCTGCTCTGTGGGGAGGCTGCTTCTCCCTCTCCCTCTGCCCCTACTCCTGCTTGTGCTCTCTCTCTCTCAAATGAATAAATAAAAAAAAATCTTAAAAAAAAACCAACATAAGTTAATCAAGTTTCTTTATTGCAGGACTTCTAAAGCCTTTAATGTGATAATATAAGATTCCTCACACTCGTCTGGCTATACTTATTCAATATTCAACAAATATCATTGTCAAGATACAGTGCAGAGAACAGAAATCACTTTAGGAGATTTGAGGAGGATTTAGCCCAGGGAATTAGGTACTTACAAAATTCACTGGGAGGCTGCAAGAGCAGATCGTTGGCTAAGCTTCTAGGAATGACTCCCAGATGCCCACAGAAAGAACCCTCCCCCGAGGGAGGCAGTACCAAAGGGGTCACGACTGGAGCTGCTCAGCCCACACACACTTTATTCTTTTTTTTTTAATTTTTTTATTGTTATGTTAATCCCCATACATTACATCATTAGTTTTAGATGTAGTGTTCCATGATTCATTGTTTGT